CGAGCAGCCCAGCACGGGAGCACCGAGCCCACAAGGCCACGGCTGCGCGCCCCCAGCCCCGCGGCGCCCTACCTGAACGCGCAATCCGGGTCTCGCGCGTCTCGGCCGGGCGCGCCCAGCCCGCTCCTCTTGCTGAACAGCTTCTGGAAGAGCGTAGGGGCCATGCTGGCCACGGCCAGGCCGGGGTCGCTCTGCTAGGAGCTCGCTAGGCCCCCGCTTCTACAGCCGCCCCGCCACCCCCATGGGCGCCTCAGTCATATGACAGAAATTAGTCACTTCAAACGGCCACGGCGCGCGGGGCGGGGCGTGCGCAGAGGGGCGAGGACCGCGAGGCGGCTGAGAGCCGGCGGGGCTCGGCCCGGGCTTCGCCGCTCCGGTGAGCGGTCCAGGGGGCTACGGCAGGATGGCCCAGGGTGGACGCCGGGGACTGCGGTGCAGAAGTACCCACGACAGGGAGGTGCTTAGGACACCGCGCAGCCGCCTCTCGCCCGCCGCTTCTCGCTGCTCCATCGGCCCGGCCAGGGCTGAACTTTGAGCCTGTGCCCAGGCCGCGCAATAGGTTTGGGCTCAGAGCCGGACGGCGCAGAGGATACCGCCAGGACCACCGCCACCGCCGAGGGTCCTGGTCGAGAAGACCAGGCGGACTGGCCATCAGCGTCGAGAACCCTGACACGAGGACTTGGTCTGGGAAGAGCTGGCCGTTGGAAGCTCAGAAGTTAGCCTGTTTCCTTGGTAACCAACAAAATCACAAATGAAACCTAGGGAAGCCTACAGAAAACATCTGTGTATGCATATCTAACCTTCTATGCTAATTCTTTAAAATTTTAGGGGCCAACCCTCAGCTTGAGGCATGCGTGCCATGGGTTCGCCACCACTGGGCTAGGGAGGGTAGCTCAGTAGTAGAGTGTTTAGTACCTTCCATGACGCAGACCCTGGATTCAATAACCAGCGCGCGCGTGCGTACATGCACATGGCAACTTTAATAAAAGGAAAAGGCAGGAAAATCTGTCTTAATGTCTAAGTGTGGAGAAAGGTAGAACTGACGGGAAAACACTTTCCTAAAAAAGATGGCTCGTAAGTGACCTTACAGTGTTATTAAAGCCACCGTGCTAAAACATATCAGGATTTTTCGATCAAACTAGGCTTACAAATTTTCAGCACTCCATTATCCCAGTAGCCCTCTCAGAAAGAATTCTGTACAGTAGGACGCAATTCTCTAAGAAATGTAGATGTCAGGAAATAACTAGTATATGTTTGAAAGGGCTAGATAAAAATGTTCTGAGAATTTCGTGGGCATACAAAATGTCCATTAAATGGTTGCCAACTCTGATTTGTGAGGGTTTGAGTTATAAGTGGCCCTGAAAAAGGAAAGTAACTGGCAGAATTTACATCTCTGGTAATTTGTCAATGGCCCGTATGTTGAGTTCCAACATTACAAGATTTTTTTAAAGCACTCAGTGTAGATTATTAAAAAATGAATATCCACTCACAAACATTTAAGGGCTAGACACTGGGGATGCAAAGTGAAAAAGGTACAGGTAACGTTCTAGATGAGGAGAAGATAAATAAGGTAATTCCAAATAGTGACTAGTGTTGTGAAATTAGTAAGAACTAGGTGGTGAAATGAGGGCTACAGAAAGTCCTGAGCAGGTGACATTTGAGGTGTTCCCACGGAAGTGATTTAGAGATCCTGTGGGCAGTATAGGCTCAAGGTAGGACTGTATCACCTACACACTTCAGATGCGTTTTCTGGACTCTAGTGTCAAACAGTGAAAGACTTTTAAGAAGGTAAGATGAGTTGTGTATTTTTCTTGGAAAATGTTTGAATATGGAATGAAAGCTTAAAACTTGCATAAAAAATGAAGTCTATAAAGTCTTTTTAAAAATGAAAGACATACATCCCATCAGCAAATGAGGCAATCTTTTGGGAAAGCTGTTTTGGTTTTACACTAGAAAGTTAAATCAGTACCAGTAGAAATATAGAAGCAAAGGCACAGGACTGATATCTTTTCATTACTGGCCCAGTGGAGAGTGTTTTCTGGGTCCCTTTAGAAGGAAGTTTCCAAATACAATAACCTTGTGTGTTTTCATTCTAGGAAAAAATTACTTCATGGGTAATTATAGATATTAATAGTAAGGGAAAGAATATTACTACTTGCATAAGAGATACTTTATTTTAGTATTCTCCCATCCTGTAATAGCTTCATTTCTGTAGTCTCAGTCTTGTACTTGAAAGGCACAGAGAAAACTAAATTTATTTTCTGTCATTCACCTGACTTCCCCTTTACTATAGTATAACAATAAAATCACAGAATCAGAGAACACTGAAATTATACAAGTTCATAATGAGTTTATAATAAAAGTTATAATAAAATATAACTGTTTACTTTTATTTTTGTGTTCAGTATCTATGATATTTTTCATTTTACTTATTACTACCACTTCCCAGAGAGAAGCTGAGGTGTCTCATAAGCAGCCTCTTTAAGAAATCAGCAAGAAGGAGATGTAAGAAAAACAATGATTGTTATTTTCTCACTAATGGTGTATTAAATAAATGTGGAACTGCTGAGTTAGAAATGGAAGGAAAAGGGTCTACATTCTCACCCAAGAATAGAAAACCCAGTCTCCCCAAACCTGAACAGCCTATGATGTCTGTCCACCTACTTCCAAGATCATCTGCCTGAGGCACTCTTCACTATAACCATTTGCTGGTTAATCCACACAGGAAAAGGGGGCTGTCTTGCTCTTTTAACCACCATGCTAGATGTATTGCCACAATTGTGCTAAATTATCCTGAAACAAAATTTTATTGCTAACATCACAGAACACTTAGTCTACTTTTGTGGACCCAGGGTACCTCCATTTTTTTTTAACTCTTAACCCAATTATTTATTGCTATATAAGGAAATAGCAGTAGTTTAAAGTAGTAAAAACATAAACATGGATTTATTCAATAAATATTTCCTAAGTGCCTCCTAGATCTCTAACTGTTGTAGGCACCTGGAATAGGGTGTTGGAAGAGTTCCTATTCTTAGGAACTTAGTTCTTAGTGGGAAGAGACAAAATAAACAACATATCTGCAAGTTGTGATAGGAGCTTAGAAAGAAATAGTTAACAGCAAGCAACTAAAGGAGGCCAAATTTAGACAGGGTGGTCAGGGAAGGCCTCTACAAAAATAGGTCTAGAAGGTCTACTTACAGATCTAGAAGAGAAGGACTCAAGACAGAATTGGAAGGAGCTGTAGTTAGAGAAGAAGATGTCCCCCAAAAGGAAGAATGGGTCAACTATGCTGAATGTTTCTGAAAAAAAAAAAAAAAAAAAAATATATATATATATATATATATATATATATATACACACACACACACACACACACACACATATATAAAAGCAAAAGCCTGAATGAAGTGGTTTCAAAAAAGAAAGAACAGGCTTCAACAAAGAGGTTTCAACAAAGAAAGAATGAAAGAATAGAAGGAAAATTGGTTTTCTTTCTTTTTTTAAAGATGGGAGAGATTAGAGAACTTTATACATTAATAGAAACAATCTAAAAGGATGGTGAAATTAAGTACCTTCTATGTTTCAGATGCTGAGAACAATAATGAACAAGACAAGTATAGTAACTGCCCTTAAGAAACCAACAAGTAAAAAAAAAAAAATTAAAAAAAAGAAACCAACAAGTCACAAACAAGTTATTGCAGATTTTGATGTTTTTTTTAAAAAATAAATCCAAGCTTTAAACATAAATTAGCTTGAACTCTTCACCTAGAATTCTTTTAGAAATGTACAAAAGGTCTTTAATGGCACACTTTAATGACAAACATTCTTTCAGCAAATATTTTTTAAGCCATATGCTTAATATGTGTCTGTCAGCTCTGCTAGAACCTGGAAATGCAATAGAGAACAAGATACCATTTCTGCACTGAGGGAGGTTACAGTCTAGGGTGGAAAAAAACAAGCTAATTATAGTACATTGTGATAAATGCTATGACGTAGGAAGCTATAATGATCTTGGTTGAATTAAGTCCATCAGGGTGACCCATGCTGTATATGATAGAAAACTCAAACAAAACTATGATAAGCAAAAAAATGACAGCAATTAGTTCACATAACTGGATCTAAAGTACATGAACAGTTGAGATACAGCTTTACCTGGGAGTACAAGAATGGTGTCAAGAATTCAGTTTCTTTTTTTAGATGGAGCTGGCAGTGCACTCCTGTAATCTCAGAACTCTGAGAGGCTGAGGCAGGAGGATCATATGGACAATTTAATGAGATCCTGTATCAAAATAAAAATTATAAGGCCATGGATATAGCTAGGTAAAAAGGCCCTGGGTTTAATCCCCAGTACCAAAAACAAATTCAGTTTCTTTTCTTTTTTTTCTTGGTACTAGGGATTGAACCTAGGGCCTTTGTTCATGCTAAATACATATTCTGCTGCAAGCCACAACTCCAGATCCAAAATTCAGTTTCTTTTAGTCCATCTCTAGTTTCTCTGTATAGATTCCATTCCTAGTCAGGGCCTGCAATTGTGCCAGAAACTTCCAGAAACTTTTACTTCTAAGAAAAAAATGGAAAAAGTCTGTCCCAGCATTCCAAGAAAAAGTTCTGGTACTATGTTTAATCCAATAGCATCATTTTAGGTCCTAGACCTATCCCTGAAACAATCACTGTGCCAGTATTGGGAATGTTAATTGATTTAAGCCATTAAGGTGATGGATAGATACAGGGAAAGTCATTACTTATTTCTACTACCAATATCCAGGGCAGTTAAACAAAGATTCAGGATCACTTGCACAGAGATGGTAACTAAAGCTATGGGCAGATGAGATCACTCAGGGAAAGTATGAGAGAAGCAGCCCTAGAAGAGAACTCCAGGAAATACCCAAACTTTAAAACTGAGCAGATAAAAAGGAGCCTTTAGAAGAAATGGAAAAGAGAATGCTAGATATGCGATGAAATCCTGAGGAGTAATGTTTCAGAGAGGTCATTCTTTATTGGAGGCTTTCATTAAGGAAGTTCTAAACCAGTTTGCAGTATCATTAGCTGGGAGACATTAGCCAAGATGAGAACTGAAAAATACACTTTAGATCACCATCAAGGAGGTTGCTGATAGCTTTGAGGAAACAGTGTCAATGGAGAACAAAAGCTGAAACCCGAGTGTGTGTGTGTGTGTGTGTGTGTGTGTGTGTGTGTGTGTGTGTGTGTTGTGTGTGTGTGTGTTGGGGAGGTTAGTGAGAAAGCAAAATAGCATTCTTCATAGAAACAGACGTAAATGGGTTAAGAATAATGGGTTAACTGGAAGGACCTGTGGAATCAAGGGAGGATTTAAGATGTAACACAAACATTTTAAAATACAAGTTAGAAACCAAGAGTACAGCAAAAGTGGTTGAACTTTATCTAGAAAGTGGGTCTCACATCCTTTATACTGTTTATATAAACACATAATGCTGTATACCCAATATGAGATAAAAAGGTCATTCATAATTGGGCAAACCATGATTAATTATACCTTAGCTGAAAAAAAAACTAGTCCGATTAAAAAATTTAAAATGGAAATGACAGTATGCTTTTTATGCATTTTAACTAATGGAGATCTGAGACTAAAATACAGTTTTAAATGTTTAAAAATGAAGTTTAGTTACAGACTAACCTTTTTTAAATCACTTGAAAAATGTTGGAGACCCTCTCTGAAAAAAGAGATGAGCCTCCTCTTTCATACTCTTCCAGGGAGGCACCCTGAAAGACCTCAGGTCTAAGGTTCAGACTACAATCCTTTCCTAGGATTTGCTAACAAGAATCTCGTGGGAATTTGCATGTCTGCCAGCCACCAGGCTTCTTTTAGTCTCCTCCTTTTTACAGTTTATGTTATGCCTCTACTCCTAAACCTGGAATGCCAATTCCAACTCCCTCCTCCCTCACCCTTCCCTGTACTACAATCTATAAAACAAAATACTGGTCTCAGTCTGATTTCAAATCCTAGCTCTATTATCTTCTAAATTATATTGCCCCAGCCAAATATTTACCTCTGAGCTTGTTATATTTTCCTTATCAACAATATCAGATGTTCATGTCTTCTAATCCCACCAGTCCCAATCCCAAGAATCAGATACCATTTTTTCTCAAAGACATCTACTACTTGATTAGAAACTATCAAATAATTCCTTCTCACTTTCTCCCCTTGAATTATAAACACTTTGAAGGCACAGAATAGGCTGCCTATTTCATTTCTCATTCCTCCTCATTTCATTTCTGCTTTTAAAGCCAGCACACTGTTGCTGACTTAGTTTACTACTAATTGAGAATATAGGTCTACATTTCGTTCTAGCCTCTACCATTACTGTTCTCTTCTAATTTCCTCACAACTATCCCATATTTTACCTTCAGATGAAATCATAGGATCACAAATAGCTTTGTTAAGGGCTTAAGGTCTTGTCAAATCATTTACAAGAATATCTCCACAGGATTCCTTTCCAAAAATAAATACTACATAGGTTACTTAGTCTCAAATTATTTCATAGATTTTATGATTTTCCTTAATACTGAAGTAGCTTGAAAATTTGATTATTTACTTTTGTGCGTAATAACACTAGTAAAACAGTTAAAATCTTGTCAATAGTTAGACAACTAACTGTACTCTGCTCACTGGCAACAGGACTGCTGTTTTTAAGAAGGGTATTATTGAAATGCCACAAGTCAGATTACCGAAATAATAATAATCTTACAGATATTATTGGCAAGAGAAGGTTATTTGGAGATAAGGTAATATATTAAATACTTAAATTATGATTGTACATATTATATATTCCTGGCATCAGCAAATCTTGAGTATAGAGTTTCTTTCAGTCACACTTGGAATTAGGTCTCTCAATCATGTGGTTTCAATTAAGTTCTGTTAAAAATAGCTTGTAATATAAGCATTTTCACTTTTAGCACTTCAACAACTTTACTCCTTGAATCCATACAAAGGACAGACTTTAGGAAAACAACAATTAAAGGAAGTTACAGAATTCCTTGTATTTAATGTTTAGTGTTATAATACCAACTACTTGGTTCTGCTTTTACAATACAAATATTGTACATGTACTTAAGAAGTATATGGAAGAATTTTCTTCACTTATTAAAAGTAAATAAATATTTCAACAGAATTTTTACACAGAGAAATATCACAAGAAATTGGAGAATTCTGAATTTTTAATTTCATATAATTTCAGGTAGACATTTCATGTAATTTCATGTAGACATGCTTCTAAGGACTTTGACTTCACATTCATATCTTCAAAGTAGTAAAATTTCAGCCACATCTGTTATATCCTGCCATTTGTTTTTATTATAATATCTGGAGAAAAAAATATAATAATAGATTACTTCATATGAAAGCAAGTGCCTCACAGTTACTAACAGCCAATCCCTGAGGGTAAGAGCTTTTGTTCCCTATGTCACTCTAGTTCTAGCCCATCAATCCTTAGGAAAACATTTTTAAAAATGAAAGGAATAGAAGCTCAACCTTCCTGGACACATTGAGAACAGCTCTCTGGAAACACAAAGAGACCTGCTCAATTCCATTCTAGAAGAAAGGACAACCAAAACTGCTGTCAGTGGCCATTGCAGGGCTTCTTAATCTCAGCCTCAATCTAGCTGTGCTTTTCATCTTTGTCCTCCTCAGTCACCCCCTAGGCAAAAGCCCCTTACAGTCTCTCACCCAATTCCCCTCTTTTTATTGCAGTTGAATCCAGATTCTTCTTGAGTAAAGCATTCTGGGACCTTTTCCTCCTCACTTTACACCAGGAGATCTAGAATGCAACCAGCGGTACCTATTTCCCATCGTCACTTTCACGTTATGATGTATCTCTCATGGCATAATCAGCCTATATCAATAGTTCTTCAACTTTATTATACGTTGGAATCATCTGAGATTTAATATACCCTAATATCTGGGCCTTGCTCCACAGCAATTAGATCAGAATATATAGATAAGGAATCCAAATGTAACACAAACAGAAAAATATGATGTGAAGCTTAGTTTGGGAACCAAGAGCTATTTTGCTACTACAAGTTGAATCCAGGGGGTAGTAATATTAGCATTATCTAGTATATTGCTATTAATGTGGATTCTGGGTCTCAGTCTAAATCTTGCTGTACCAAAATTTCCATCTTAGCAAGATCTTCAAGTGATTCACAGGTTCGTTAAAGTTGGGGAAGCCTTGCCTCTACTACCCTCTACTCCTCTACTCCTCCTCCTTGTGCTTGCTAACCTCATCTACTGTCTGCTCATTTATTAAAGACTTTTTCACAGTCATCTCCTCCTTACCAGCTGTGTAACTTCCAAGAGGGTAAGAACCCTATCCAACTATTTAGTCACAACTACCTTTCACCTCAGTAACATATATACGCCCAGGGCCATGAAGTTTACTTTTCCCTATCCTAATATAGAATACATCACTTCCAAAACTTTACAATCCTAGAGACCTAGGAATTATCTTCTAATCATTCTTCTTTCTCTCTACATTGTGCCACTACTGAGTTTGTCACTAAGCTGTGTCACTATTTTAGTTTAGACTAGTTTTCAAACTCTAGAATTCCTCAGTTTGAGAAAAACTTTGAGATATACAAGCTTTGAGAAACACTAGCCTGAGCTAGCTTTTTGTTTGTTTGTTTGTTTGGTTTTGGTTTTTTTGTTGTTTTGTTTTGTTTTGAGACAGAGTCTCATTGTATAGCCTGGGCTGGCCTTGAACTTGTGGCAATCCTTCTGCTTCAGCCTCCTGAGTGCTGGGATCTCAGGAGTGTGCCACCAGGCCTGGCAGTTCATGAGAATTTTTACAGAATGGCCACCTGGAATTTCTACATCCATATCAATTCTTCCCAAACCAGCTCCACATTTCTTGTAAGAATTATCAAGCAAAAAGCAACTTGGAGCAGAATAAAATTAAAAGTCAGCACGGGGTATATGAGCTTCTCAACATCTACTCCTCAATTAGTACCCAAGACTCAGTTCTCAAAATGTCTAATTTCCACTCAAGCCAAACATGACTGATTTCAATCCTTACCTGAGGATGTCTAAGTCATTGTGCCTTTATTTATGTTGGTCCTTCTTCCTGGAAGGCTTATATGCTCAGAAAGTTCCTGTGGGCTTCAACTCACCCTCCAGTAGATTCTCTACCTTCGTTGTGTATCTCAACTGAATCCCACATATACCTCTATTAAAGCGCATATTACCTCCTCTGGACTTCACCTACCTTGCTTCTTATATGAGATTATAGACTTTCTGACATGAACAACTATGTCATTTTCTCAATATCATCAGCAAACAATTGTGTCTAGCATATAACATCCAGACTTAATGTTTGCTGAATGAGTGAGCCAACTATAGAGCTTCATCTTTTCATTTGATAGTTATACAAAACAACAGGCTTAAAAGGCTTCCATGATATCAATTTATTTGAATTTTCCCCCCTAAGGAACTAACTGGCATACTTCATCTCTGTATTTGTGTTTGATCCATTTGTCTGTGTCAGAGACATCTCTTTACATGAGATAGCACAACCAAATTTACCATCAAATAAAATAACCACTCACCACATATTGCATAATGAGTGATTTTTATGTACTAGATACTTTATACAATTCTTTGAGGTAAAAACTTACCAATTTTACAGACATCAAAAAATTAGTACAGTTTAAGGAATTTATTTATGTGATAGGGTTAGGATTTGAATTTAAGATGTCTTATTACTAAGTGATTTCTACTACCATCTCTCAGATGTTTGATTAGAATAGTTTCAATCCCATCTGTCATATATCTGTATGATATTTCCACCTACTATTATCTAAAAATTCAAACTTCTCACTACTGATACATGTGCACCTAGCTGAAAACTAAAGTATCCTCTTCTGGGTTTTGACATGTGTAGTTCTAGGCCTGAGTCTACCAGTAATTAGCTATATAAACTTGGGCAAATCACTTGTCAACCTTTTGAGGTCATTTTGTTATCTGAAGAATGAGCAAAATAGACTAGATATATATACACCCATACTAGAATATGGTTCTCAAATTTTAGTGCTCATTGAAATCACTTTGAGAGTTCAACAGACAGTATTTTGGATTGCTGTGTCTTATGTTTAGAGATTGTAGTTTCCCAGATAATGTTGAACTAGATGTTTTCTACAATCCCTTCGATATAGCAGCTACCATTTTCACACCCCTACTTACCATACCACCTCATCTATCACATCTTTTTTAGCTTACTTCTACCAATATTTGCTTAGATCAGCTTCTGAACAGGGTCCTAGACCATCAAAAGTGAGCTTCACCCTGTAGTCCTGATTAGATTACTGCCAAACTAGCTAAAACTTTAAATGCCAGGACTAAAAATAGGCTGTTGCATATTTAAAATAACAGGATCACAAGTTAGCTTGAGGCTTTGCTATTTTTACTAAAGGAAAGGCTGAGACAAGTGGCCACAGGTTGAAAGGAAATTACTTAAGCGAGCAACCTGCTGTTACAGTGAGAGCCTAGGAAAAAGCCAAGAGGTGGCAGCATTAGTTCAACATTTGTCAGGGGGTCTCTATGAATTAAAATAAAAACTTTGGTCTGAGCACTGAAATAAATCTCTCAAACACATTTGGATTTTGAATCTGTTGTTGCATGGGATCTTTCACAGAGGAAGTGCTCAACAAATATTAGGTGACTATAAGACCATCTCCTTATCTCTAAAAAGAATACTACTAAAAATAAAACCCAAACAACATAAAATTTCAAATTGTTATAAGAGGTTTCCCAGATAAATACATTTTAAGTCAATGTCATAAGCTAATTCTTCAACACATGAAGTACAGTATTTGACCATAGAGTATTATTTTACTCAAGTTCTGAAACCTGCTAAGACTTTTAATTTTACCATGTCAATTTTGTACAAAAATTCTCAGAACAAAATTTATAATTGTGTTTTCTGTGTACATAAAGAATTTGTAATGAAATGTTTTTATATAATACAAAAATTATGCTTAGCATTCATATTAGAGTACCTTGAGGAATATCTTGAGGAGGAGAATCTCTCTTCTTCTTTATAGTAACACCTTTACTTTTCATTTTTCTAGTTCCTGGTGATGCCTTAATAATACAACAGATTTCTGGCCTGTTAGAAGGAAACTAAAAAGGAAAAAAGCAGTTACTGTGTAACTCCCCAGTTGCTACATTTTTATGTTCTTTTCATTCAAAGGCAAATAGTCTCAATATCTGTTTCATAGATATAATGAATAATAGTAAGCATATATTTAGTGCTTACTCCACCCCAGACCCTAACAGTTTTAAAACATTTGCTTATATAATACTCACAAAAAATCAAGCAAGGCAGATTATTCTTACTTACAAATGAAGAAATTCAGTTCAGAGAAATTAGATAACTCACTTAAGGATAAAGAGCAAGTAATGGTAGAGTAGAAAGTCCAGCATTCCAAAGTGAAAGTTTGCATGATTAATTGAATTAAAACACAAGTTTAAATTTAATTCTAAGTCAAATACTAGGTTCCTTGAGTTCTCAGGTAATTTTGATAATTTTCTCTCAAGCAGACAGTCTCTAGAATACAGAAATACCACATCTTCATAAGTAACATATTTTGTTAGAACTCAGAAGCAGAGATATGCATTTATCAAGGGTTGCGCCTGTTTTAATCCATATTATCGTTGTGGTAAATACCTGCTATTTTCCCGTTCATTTTCCATTCTTCTGGTACTTGGGAGAATCTATCCATTCTACCAGTTCCTTCTTATGGATAAGGTAAAGATGATAATACTTATGTACTCCACAGTGGCCACAAGACTCATCCTAGCCAACCAGCATAGTTAGTGGGCCTAACAGTGTTATGCTCCCAAGTACTGTAAGTGGGCCAGTAGGAAGAAAGGGATGCTCAACTTGAGATTCTGGCACTAAGAAAGAAACCAACCCTAGCAATTCCTATTGTAGTAGAAACATAAAATTTCTCAGGAGGATGGGATCCCCAATTTAGGCCTATAGGATTCCTATCAAATAATAAAATCAATTATAAAATGACTAAGTATAGAGTCAGGGTCAGTGTCAGAATTGTTCTTCAATGTTCAGTTTAGAATAGTTCCAGAAAGAAAGGAAGGAGGACTTCTGGGAAGATGGCCCAGTGGTAAGCTGTAGAGAAAGAGCCTCTCTTAGAGTTGTCATCCAGACAATGGAATATAGCAACGCAAGGAAGACAAGGAGGGAAGTGGGCCCCATCGACCCAGGAAGGATCTGAAGTGAGAATTAAACCCCACAGAGAGAGCAAAGAGAAATTTCAACATAGAAGAAGCAGGTAGGTAGCTGGCGGTGTCTTCTCCCTGAGTTGGGATTCACTGAGTGGTAGAAGCAGTTCAACAAATAATGAAGGATGAAATATATTTCACCTCCTTCTAAAATTTCATTTTAATAACAATAAAGGAAGTACCAGGCTGGGGATATTGCTCCGCAGCACAGTGCCAGCCTGACAAGCGCAAGGTGATGAATCCCCGGTACCCACCTAAATAAATGAATGATTGAATGAGTGAATGAATGAATAAATAAATAAATGGAAGTATCAAACTCAGGAAAAACTGAGCTACTGTGTATAAGACCATATCAAACAATGGATTTAAATCCCTAGAACATCAGTTACTGGAACAACCAGAGGGGAATAAAATAGCAATGCAAGAAATGATTAAAGAATTAACAAGAGACTATCAGGAATTAAAAGCAAATTTGAAGAACAAATCAGAAATTCTTTTTTTTTTTTGGTACCAGGAATCAAACTCAGGACCTCGCTCTTGCCAAGCAAGGCGCTGTACTGCTGAGCTATATCCCTAGCCCCAAATCAGAAATTCTTAAAGAATAAAAGTTGAAATGAAAAATTCAATGGAAAGCTTAACAGCATAATAGATGGAGATGAAGAAGAAACTACTGAAGGAATTACACAGAATATGACAAATAAGTGAAAAATACTAAAGAAAGTTGAAAGATATGGAAGACTGAATGAATGTAATGTGCTAGTTAGCAGTCTAGAGAGAATAAAACAAGTAATAGCTAGGAAAATTTCTGAATTTACAAAAGATATAAATCTACAGATTCAGAAAGGCTAATAATCCCAAGCAAAATTTTTAGAATTAAATGAACAGAAAACAGAAAGCAATAATTAATTTATGTACTCATTTAACTAAAATTAAAGCATACCCCAAATAAGGAAACCTTAAAAGAAGCCAGAAAGAAAAGGCATATTGCATCAATCACCAAGATCACCCTGAGGCTCAATAGTTTGCTAGGACTCACAGGATTCAGAAAAGCGGTTCCAGTTTTCATTTATTACAACAAACGAATACAGATTAAAATCAGAAAAAAAGGCACATAGGGATAAATCTGGAAGAAGAAAACTTCCAGTTGTTCTCAGCTATTGGAGTTACATTGGCAGTACTCAATTCTCCCATGGGCAGAGTGCTGCTAACTAAGGCAGCTAGTAAGCTTTCGTTTTGCTTTGTGTTTTGTTTTTCTTTGGAGAAAGGGTCTTACTATGTAGTTTAGACTGGGCTTGAACTCATAGCAATCCTGCAGTCTCAGCCTGATGAGTAGATTATGCGTATGTGCCATCACACCTGGAAGCTAGTAAGCTTTGTTGTCAGGGTTTCTGCTGAGGGTCACAGGCATGCGGTGCCCACATGACTGACTTCAGCTGCTCAGACTTCAGTCCGCACAGGTCAAACTGATACAGAATAACTCAAAGCCTCACAGATGAAAAACGAGTATTTAGCATAAATCACCATGTTAATATAAACTATCTGACATAGACAAGACCTCAGGCATACAGACACATTGATCAATCACAATATTCCCAGAGCTCTGACATCATCTCCAGGAGTTTGGACAAAGGGCAGCCCTGTTGACCTTAGAAATGTACAAGCCTATTAAGTTCATTCTTTTCCACATAGGACAGGTGCAACTGCAATATGAAAAAAGACAGTAGATTGTTACTATCAAAGAGCAGAGAGAAGCCAGGCACAGTGATGCACACCTGTAATTCTAGAACTTTAGAAGGTTTAGGCAGGAGAATCTCAAGTTCAAATCCCTCCTAGGTAATTTAGTGAGACCCTGTCTCAAAATTTAAAAAAAATTAAAAGGAGTGGGGATAGAGCTCAGTGTGAAGACCCGGGGTTCAATCTCTTGTACCACAAAAAGAGAAAGTGGTTATTAATATAGAAATATATAAGCAGAAAAACTGTCAGGAATGAGGGCAAATTAAAAGCATTTTTAAAAACTATTAAAGTAATATTCCACCAAAGACCCTTACTAATCTCAAGATGAACAAAGAAAGAAGAAAAATGACTTCAGGAGGATATTGTCTAGAAGTCAAGAGGGAAGGTAAGCAAAATTAAATACATGTAATATAAACAAATATTGCCTGAATAAGGTAATAATAATGTTGAGGATTATAATTTTGGGTTTAAAAAGGACAGAATCAAAATACTGGAATAATAAAAAAGGCTGTAAGCTGGGTATATTGCTCAGCTCTCCATTACTGGACAAAATATCTTACACCTGAAACTTAAAGAATAGAAAAGAGATTAATTTGGCTCATGGATTCAGAGGCTTCAGTCCATAGCTGTTAGCTCTAAAACAAAAACATTATGGCAGAAAGGCATAACAGAGCAAAGGTTCATGTGGGCCAGGAAGCTCCTAGATATCACCAGAAAGGAAAGGACCAGGGAGCAGATATAGTACCCCAGGTCACACTTCCATGACCTACCAGACACATCCAAATGTGTGCTTTATTAATCCCCCAGGTGGCTTTGAAGCCAATCAAGTTGACAAGCCAGCTTACTTTTCAGAGTAGAAATGATGATTGGGCTTTAAATTACTCTAAAGTTCTGACACTTTTTGGCAACAGAGTGAGTTACTGTTTAATCTTTAGACTTTATTAATTTATATATGCCTGGTAAATTTTCAAGTGTAGTCATGATGAAAACAAAAGAGAGACTATAAATTCCAAACTCATAGGAAAGGAGGGAAATATAATAAAAAACATTAAAATTTTCAGTGAATCAAAAAATGTTAAGCAGGAAAAAATAGGATAAGAAAATAGGATAAGAAAAAAGGCAGAAACAAGGCCAAGTATATCAATAATCATTACATCTAACTGAACTAGAGTTAAAAGACAGATTGTTTAGACAGGACTGAAAATACAACTGTTTATAAGAAGGCCATCCAAAACAAAAGACTTTGAGAAGGCTGAAAATGAAATGATAGAAATAAGATGTACTAAGCGTTATATAATGCGTTATATAATAGCAGAGCAACTACATTTATAGTAAGCCCAACAGAATTGAAGACAAAAAGTATAATGAACAAAGAAGCTTGCTAAACAATGAAAACAAGTATAATTCCCTAGAAAAAACACAATAATTTAAGAAATACACAATAAAATAGAGCCAATAAAATAGTTTCAAAATAGATAGAGGAAAAATCTGTAGGCCCACAGGAAGAAACTAATAAACCTGTCATCATAATAGTGGCTAATTTCAACATATTACTACTACTGATGGCTTAAACAGATAATATGTCAGGAAGGATATAAAAACATTTAACAAGTTTAACTGACAGAGAGACTTCATCTATCAAAAATTACAGAATAAACATTTTCAAACACATGAAACATTCAATAATCAATGTTTTAGATTGTAACATATGGGTCAACAAATTTCAGAGAATCCATACCACTTACATACTACTTTCTCTGACTGAAACTCATTTAAATTATAAGTGAATCATAAGCATAAAAGCTCACATACATGTGGGATTTTTAAAAAATGTGTGTTTCTAAGGAAATTTTAGGTCAAAAAAGAAATCATACTGGAATTTAAAAATACTTAATATTGCAGTTATCACATATCAAACCTGTTGGCCACAGTTAAACTAGTAAGAAGTACATAACACAAGGGCAAAGAAAATCTAAAGAATTCAATAAACACAAGAGGAGGCATCAGGGAAATACATTAAAGTAAAGAAACAATACAGGAGATTAACAATCATAGATAGTTTCTTTCAAAAGTAAGAAAATAAACCTTTGACAAGACTAATTTTAAGAAACAGAAGGATTATTAAGAATAAAAAAGAAGTCATGAGTACAGATACAACTAGGACTAAAATAGAAGACCATAAACAACTTTTATTATATTAATTTGAATACTTTATACAAATTGTACCAATTCATAGGACTATATGATTTCTAAAACTAAAGAAAAAATAAAGGTTTCACAGCATGCTACAGAGAAATTAGATCTGTGCTTATAAATCTTCTCACAAAGAAAATACTAGGCCCACATCAACAAGTTTTAACAAATTTTCAAGTAATATATAATTCTAATCTTACATAAACTGTTTTCAAGAATAGAAATACAGAATACACCTAACTTCATTCTATGAGGCCAATTACCTTTAGACCTAAAACAGAGAGAAAACATATTACAAGAAAACACTGGAACTAATCATTTAGAAATATATACAGAAAAATACAGACAGAAAAATCTTGAGCCCAATTATAACTAAATCAGTCAAATGTATAAAAAAAATTATGTAGCTTGACCAAGTAATCCTCAAATGCAAAGTCTGAGGTCAGCTAGGGTCAGTAAGGGTCAGCTAATTTACTTCACTATATTAACAAGGTTGAAGAAGGAGAAAAATAAACATAATCTTGATAGATTCAGAAAAAGCATTTAATAACTTTGTAAACAATTTCACTTGAGATCCAAAATGAGAAATATATTGTACTAGAAGTCCTAAATAGGACAAGAAGGCACAATTTGCATAAAATAAACAAATTTTGCCATTATTCACAGAGGATATGACTGTCTACACAGAAAATCCAAGAAAATGTACAAATTTGGCAGTATTGCTGGCTATACACAAATACATACAAATTAATTGTACCTGTACCCCATCAATGAAAAGTTAAAATACACAATTTTTAAATAGAATACAATAACCAGGCATGGTGGTGCACCCCTGTAATCCCAGCACTCAGGAGGCTGAGGCAGGAGGATCGTTGTGAGTTTGAGATCAGTCTGGGCTACACAGTGAACTCAAAACCAGCCTGAACTACATAGTGAGACCCTGTCTCAAAAAGACAAAAAAAAAAAAAAAAAGCAATAGCATAAAATAATGTAACTTTCCTAGGAATACATCTAACAAAAAATTATAAGATCATTGTAGTTAAAATGGTAATACGATGTCAAAAAATATTAAAGAGCACCTAAATAAACAAGAATATAATACCATGTTCACAGAATGAAATGTTTAATAAAGGTATTAGTTTTGAGAAAAAATATGAAGGAATAAATGACACAGACCTCAGAATTAATAGTTACTGAAAGGATGAATGGAATCATGGCGAAGCTCTAGATTTTTTAGGGGACAGGTATTTGTAACGTCCTGTTTCATTGTCTAAATGGTAGTGTTTATAGGGAATCCATCTATTTTTTTCTTTAGGGAATCCATCCATTTTTTTCTTTACAGCATGCATACTCTTTTATATGAATGCTACATTTACATAAATAGAAAACAGATACCCAGATGTGTTTTCCTATTTCTTGCAATGGCCCTTTTCCATCTCAAGCTACAGTCTAGAAGATTTTTCTAAGAAAAGGGTAACACAGATCATTTCCTCTCTGAGGGATTCCCAGCAGTTAAAGGTAGGAGAGTTGTGCTATAAGCAGCTGAATCAAGTGAACATAAAACACTTAAGGTATAGGCTACAAAATATAAAATTAAACTTCATGAAAATTTAAAAATTTTGTGTATCAAAAGACCCTATCAATAGAGTAAAAAGGCAATGCATAGAATTAGAGAAAATATTAGTAAATATTATCATATATCTAATAAGAGATTCTTCTTCACTACATGTAAATGATGTTAGCTTCACCTGAGTTCTAGATTTCACAATGTATCTCATATATAAAGTATTTAATAAAACAACAATGATCTCTTTCAGTAACTGAAGGAAAAATTAAGAATACTACCTCATCTGAAGAATTTTCTTGCAAACCTGACACAGGAACAATTTCATCTGAATTAACACAATTGCTGACACTTGGGAGTAGTTCTTCATAAGATGCTTTTTGCACCGGGGACAAATCAATCTATTAAAAAAAAATTACTCTGTGGTGGAAGTTTCAGAAACACTTATTTTAAGTAACTAAAGTTTAAAATACTGGCCCACTGATAGCATACTTTTGTGAACTTGACACATCAGTAATTTCATCTGAATGAATATAATTAGAATTATTTGAGGATAATTCTTTCAAAGATATTTTTGATCTTTGGTTAATTGAAACTATGCTCCCCTAGGGACCTGGTAAGGATAAAAATTTTTAAATTTTACTAGATAACATTGCTTATGGTAAAATGATGTCTGAGTAGAAAACTTATCTCCAGGACAAACTTAAATGCACTACAAATAAATAAATACTATAAAAATGTCATATTTAGCTTCCCTGGGAGCAGAGACCCTTGGAATTAGGCATGTCCCTGTGAAGCCCTGAGGAGCTAAGTACACGTGATGTTACAAAAGATACTGCATCTCATTTCCATGCAGCTGGGCTGTGCACATACTGCTATGTAAGCTGTTGATGACTTTTTTGGGGGGTTACCAGGAATGAACTCTTGGCCTTACACTTGCCAGACAGGCACTGTGTTGTATCCCCAGCCCCTGATGACCTCTGTTAGGACTGCTGCCCTGGATAAACACCTTCAGCTACCCTGCTAGTAAGATGTATTCCTATTATTCAGCTGAACCCAAGAAATTGTTGGGTAAGAACTAAAATGATAAAATACTCAGAAGCATAGAATAAAGACTTTATGACACTGGATTTGGCAATGAGTTCTTGGATATGATACCAAAAGCACAGAAAACAAAAGTAAAGGAGATTTGAACTACATCAAATGAAAACATTTATGTATCAAAGAATCCCATGACAGTGAAAAAGCAACCCATGGAATGTGAGAAAATATTTGTAAACCACATATTAAATAGTGTGGTTAGTATCTAGAATGTACCAAAACCTACAACTGAACAACAATAAAAATACCTAATTCAAAAGTGAGCAAAGAAGCTGAGCATGGTGGCACACACCTGTTATCCCAGCACTTGAGAGGCTGAGGCAGGAGGACTGTTGCAAATCTGAAGCCAGTCTGGGTTACACAGTAAGTTTAAGACCAGCCTAAACTACAAAGGAAGACCATGTCTGCAAAAAATGAGCAAAGCACCTGAATAGACGTTATCTAAAAAAAATTATTCAAATGGCCAACAACACATGAAAAGATTCTCAGTATTGCTAATCATTAGGGCTATGCAAAACAAAACCATAATGAGATACTAGCTCACACTCAGGATGATGTCCATTTAAAAAACAGAAAATAACAAGTATTGGGAGACGTATAGAAAATTGGAACCAGGTGCGGTGGTTCATGCCTGTAATCCAGCACTGGGAGGCTGAGACAAGAGGATCACAGTAAATTCAAGGCCAGCCTGGGATACATAGTGAGTTTAAGTTACACAGTGAGACCCTGTCTCAGAAAAAAAAAGAGAAAGAAACTAGAGCATTGTGCATCACTAGTGGGAAACAGGTTACAGTCCTCAAGAAATGAAAACTGGGGTCACCATATGATCCAGAAATCCCACTTGTGGACATATACCCTCAAGGAACTAAAAGCAGAGACTTGGGTATTTGTACATTCATGTTCACTGCAGCGTTGTTAACAACAGCCAAATGTGGAAACAACTCAAGTATCTACGGATGAATAAATGAATAAATAAAATATGTATACATACAATGGAATATTATTCAGCCTTAGAGAGGAATTTCTGACACGTGCTACCACAGATGAACCTGAAGACATTATGCTAAATTAAAGCCATTTGCAAAAGTGTAAATATTGCCAAGCAAGAGGTGTGCACCTGTAGTCAGCTTCTCAGGAGGCTGAGGCCAGAGTATTACTTGAGCCCAGGAGCTCAAGGTCAGCCTGAGCAACATAGTGAGACCCTATCTCAAAAATGAACCAACAAACAAGACCAATACTGATGATTCCACCTATTCCATGAGGTACCTAGAATAGTCAAATTTATAGAGACAGAAAAAAAAAGGTAATTGCCAAAGGCTAGGAATAGGGGGTTATTGTTTCATAGGTGTGAGGTTTCAGTTTTGCAAGATGAAAAGAGTTCTGAAACTGTGCATTTAAACATGGTTAAAAGTCCAAATTTTCTGTTATGTATATTTTATAATAAGAAGGACCCTACTTGGCATTTCACTATTCTCATCTTACCCATATACACGAATAGCACCATATACAATACTTCTAGTGAAAATATGTACAACAGGAAAATATAGATACTGTTCTCTATAGATATTCCCTCGGTAGGAGAAAAATACAAGAATGGGGAGAAGAGGAGCCAAAAAATACCACGAGTACCGAATGCTAATACTTACCACAAAACCAGCAGCCTCTGAAGATGGAGTACTTGTTAACAGGCCTCTACTTTTCTTATTAGGAATACAAGAATTTGTTTTCTATAAATGTTTATAAAATAGGAGATTAAATAGCAGAAAAAAACAAATTATTATAATAGTAAAACCACAATTCAAAGTTAGGAGACTAAATCATGTGTAATACTAATACAATCTTCAACCTGCTTATTAAATTTTGAACTACTTGAAGGAAACTAAGGAATTTTTGTCTGGAGGTCAGTCAGTCAACTCTGAAGAGAACTCTAGGGTGCATAACAACTATATGAGAATATTTTGGTGAAATAACAATTAATTGGGAAAGAGAAGCTAGAGTGTTGAATTGGATAACAGTGTTTTGGTTATCTTTGTTAATTGCTACAAAAAGGTATTTTGCTTTCAGCATTTGTTTACTTTCTAGTATATTATTTTACTTTTTGACTATAAACCCAGAAGGGGTTTTTATTTTATTTTATTTTATTTTATTTTATTTATTTATTTTTTGGTACCAGGAATCAAACTCATGACCTCAGGCTTGCCAGGCAAGCACATATGCTGCTGAGCTACATCCCTGGCCCTATTATTTTACTTTTTAATGGAAAGGGATTATAAATTATTTCTGAAGCTGTTAAAACATATTTGTAGCAAGGATAATTTGGTTAAATATACAAGTTTACATCTATACAGATACTTTTTTATTTTAAAGAGAAAAACAAAGCAATGATTTGAATTGCTTTGAATTTCAAAACAAGATAGTAGGAAATTAATAATGATTAATATATTGCATATTGTTATCTTGGATGTTGGTATGCAAAAATTGATCAAACAATATAAGCACAAACCGTTCTTTTCAATGAATTAACAGAAATTAGTAATATAATTATATTAGCTATCTTGTGTATATATATATATATTTTTTTTTTTAAATTTTCCTTTCCTTCTTATACAGATACTCTATTCAAGGAACATCAAAATTAAAGAAATTATAAAATAGGATGCAGACACTTTCTGTTTCTTAAAAATGCAAAGAAGCAGTCAGAGAGACAAGTGGACAACAGGAAAGATTAAAGACAACAAGGAAAGCTACAAGATTCAAGAGTTGAGAATGACAGAGGAAAGAGAGGGTCAGACTGCCAGGGTGGTGAGGAAGGAAAGTGGGAAAGTGAAAGCAGAAGATCTGGAAGGAAAAGAGAAATAGAAAAGAAGATTGAAAAAAGGAAAGAGGGAGGGAGAGCAAAGAGAAGACAGACACCAGCAGACTGTGAGCAGAAAGAGACTGAGAGAGAGAAACTGAGGAAAAGGGAGTTGGGGAGAGAGGAGACAGCAAGACAGACACGGGGAGCAGACAGACGCAGGCTGACATTAAGAGAGACAAAACCCAGGACAGCAAAGGCAAAGAAACAGGTAAAAGGCAGAACAGAAAGAAAGAGTAAAATGCTGAGACAGGGTCAAGCAGCTTTATTTCTACAAATCAGCTGTCTTCCCAACCCTTGGATTCCTTGAAACAACTATGTTTCTAATAACATCTTTCTTTTTGAATAGTATTTATTATGTGAAGTCTTGGAACCCAAACTCAGAGATAAAACTCAAACGTCATAGAAAAGTTTGTCAGGTTTCTTTTTCAATCTTTTGTTTTCCTTCTGGATCTCTTAAAACTAGTTGTTGGCAAAACAATATAGAATAGATGATTAGAAAAAGTTTTATCAAAAAAATTTAAGGTTATGTTTACCCGGTACACAGAATATGTCAGCTCTCTAATTTATTAGCTACATAATCTTTTAATCACTTCATGTGAACAATGAGGATTCTTCTACCATTAGGGACTGGTGAGCAAGGATTACAAATAATATATGTAAACAGAACCTATGGTGTCTGGAGGGGAGGAATGCTCAGTGACAGCTACTATTATCATCCCTGCGGCAGCCTTGAAGGTGCTCTACTCTGATCTCCTCAAACAAAGAACCTGCTCTTTACCGCAAGGAGTACAGTTAGCTGATACTACCCAGCTGCAACACCGTTAGGGTCTGCTTCAGCTTTCAAATTTTCTTTAAGATCTGCCCATTTTCTCAGGCAGCCTCCAGCTAATGTTCGGCCACAGCAGCCCAACATAGACAGTGATGGGTACTCTCTGCTCCAGAACTGCTCATTAGAGGAGCTTCTGTCAGACTTGCACTGAGGATTGAGGCTGTACCTGCTTAGTCCTGCTTTCTCCCTGCTTTCCTTTCTCAAGTATTACCCTCTCCAGTAAGTCATATGAATGCTTAAACTGTCTCTCCTTGCAGTAGTCCCAGTGACCCAACTATTGATGGTCAGTTCACTTTTAAAAATACCACTACATTAAAGGAGTAAAATAAAATATAGATAGGAGGAAAAAGGAGATAGATGTTTTTCAAATGAGAAGGGATCAAGAGATTGAGGGAGTGGGGAGGAAGGACAGGGAAAGGGAAGAAGAAAAGAACTGAGATGTGCTATGTACACGTACCAACTCCACACTAGGAATGTAAACATCATGTACTGCAAACACGTGCTAATAAAAATTAAAATGTAAAAGTAAATGAAAAATCAGTCTATATATAGCTGTAAGTATAAAGATTTCCTATATTTTTCCCAGATTTGTTTAAAAATGCACGTTTCTAAATCTTCTCAATCAGTACATACTAAGTCTCTTCAAGAACCAGAGTTAATAAATAATGAGTGCTCACCAATGCAGGCGCCAGGGGCTGAGGCAGCAGAACTCCAGTGACTGAGCTATGTGCACTGCTTCCAAGAGCAGGCCTATGGTGGGATAACTCAATGTCGATGTGTGCACGATGATTTAACTTTGTCTGAATGTCTGTATCTCTATCTTCTAAATCGTTTTCAAGCTGAAACAAATTCACAATCAAGAATTACATTTCACAGTGCTGTAAAAACATTTCTACCA